ACACACACATGTACATACATGCATGCATACTTTATTAATCCCTATGGAAAGTTACCATTGGTGGGATTCCCCAGTTATGGTGAAGCCCCAGATATCACTTTCCTACTTTCTACTCTCAGTGGGAAAGTCCCTAATGGTGGCGATAAAATAAATTTTTGCTCACAGCAGGTCAGTCATTCGGAGGCTGTGGATGGATCAAGTAAGTGCTTTGAAATGCTCTGTGTTCTGTGCTAAACACTGCATGCTTTCTCAAGTATCCTGGCTGCTTGCATTGCTTGGGGAATTGAGTCCGTTTGCTATGACTGTATTGATTTTAGTTGCCCCACAAACAGTGGACCAATTGAACATGTTGTTTTTTTTTAGCATTAAAGTATGTTAATGCCTACATGCTTATTTATGATCAGTCTCAGTGCTTGATGGTTTTATCTTTCTGATTAATATCCTAACTTAGCAACAACTCAGATGGAAACGAAGCTCAGATTGCCGAAGCTGATCAAGAACAGGGGAGAGCGACATGGGAAACAAAGCAAGCTTCAGAGAAAAGAGGACAGGCAACCTTTGTTGGAGGCTAATGTTACAGATGGTGAGTGACGCTTCTGTTGGCTAGAAAATGACTCAGTCCTTAAAGAACTGTGCCCATGACAACAATTGTTAGTTTATGTATCAAATGTGAAATCCTTGAGCTGAAAATATTAAACTTAAAAGCTGCACAAGCACATTGTTTTTTTAACATTGTACATTACTTTGCGTTCATGTAATTCAGTAATAATCTTTGGCATTTCGCTCGTGGTGATCCGGATTAAACTCCTTTTACATTCAGCTAGCGGGTAATGAAAACAAGTTCAGCTTAATGGCGGGAGATCTATGAAAAAGAGTTACATGACATAAGATCTGGATCTGCCCCTTAACAGAAGGGGCAGGGATTACAGGAACTTTCAGAATTAGAACACAGTTGTGCTCCCCCCCCCCCTCCCCTTTTTCCGACTTTAACTCTTACAACTGATGTACCAGTCGTGACTACAGGGGACAGCTGGGTGGAACTGGGACAGAAGCTGGCCCAGGATGTGCTCAGCAGTGTGACACTCCAGGGAAACCCCACCATTCCAAAGAGCAGCCCCACCAAGGATTTGACCGAGGTGGTGAAGCAAGTGGTAACGGAGAGTCTTTCGCAGCGGGGGGTCGATTTTGGTCACATGCAGAGTAGAGTCTGCTTGGAGAAACGTCTGAACAAGGTGCTGGGTGGGGTGCTTGGTGAGCTTCAGCGGCAGAACCCAGGTCCTGGAGTGGCCTGCGTTCAGGATACAGTGGTGGAGGCCCTTCATTGCTACGTGTTTGTACAGCTGAATCACACCTTGCAGTGTGAGTCTTCGCAGGAACCTCTACTGCTGATCCAGAATGTAGCCAAGGTGTACCTAAGGTAGGTGGATCTGTGTGTCACGGGACTTTTTGAAGCATTTAAACGTCACAACATCACAGTTACTGCCATATTAATAATTGCAAAGCGCATATTTGTTCTTAGTGTTATTTACCTGCCTTTTTAGAGAGATGTACTGTAGTCCAGCCTGCTTATTTTCCTTGCTACCAGGAGCCATAAAAAAGTATAGACGTCTGAAAAAGTTTGCTTAATTATAGTATGATAGTAATTATAGCAGTAATTATTGGGAGTCTGGACAGGCTGGTAGTCAGACACTATTCTGCCTTTTGGGCTCAGTCTTATTCACCGTTGATTAAAAGATAATGATATGTAAAAACACTTTGCAGTCCATGTGGAGTATTTGCATACAATGTCAATGAAGCTTTCCTTAAATGGAATCCACATTGGCAGATTTGTATAATTTTCAATTTTTCTGCATGTTTCATCGTGAATTAAAAAATATATAGTTCCTTTATCCACCCAGTGTTCTACCTCAAGCTTGTTGCCTTTGATTCTTCTTACAAATTGTGAACAGTACTTAGCCTGTCTTTGCTATAAAAAGAATATGTGTTTTCCAGTGTGTTATGGGATATTCTGGGCCACTTGGCCAACTTCTGAAATACCCCCATGACTTGTGGTTCTGCAGCGATGCATCGATGGGGCATCTTAATACGGCAAATCAGACCTCCAAAGCAGTTGACCCACTGGTCATCGCAGACTGGCTGCAGAGCGCACAAATGAAATACTTGGATTCCGCTATGGTAACTTACCGCCAGTGATGGCACTTTCTGTTTATGCATAGCGCGTCTACTGGCTAGCTGCAGCATTCCCGTGTGATATTTTTGACATGACATTTAGTTAAAAGTAGCTCTGCTGCTCTATACCTAAGTAAAGCCTCTAATGTAAATTTCCTTAGTACTATATCCCAACCAACATTAATAGTAATATCTGAAGAGGTGTAGGACTTAGTAAGGCAGTGACCTGAGTGAATAGGCTATTCTGTAATCACTCCTAGAAGGACATTCCTGAGCTCCTGACAAAGATTCTTCAGTATGAGGAGGAGTGGCGGTGCTCAACTGATCTGAAGAACGAGGAAGATTTTATCTGGCTGCAGCTGGATGTTGAGCAGGTACTCCGACAGCTGAAGAAAAGCATTGTTCTGCAAGTCACATGGAAGGCATGCTGTGTTGGCAAATTGTATGTCCCCTTCATGTCCAGATTTTGGTTCAGGTCCTTGCAGGTCGTATCCAGCAGGCAGAGAAGGTGAGCCAGTGCTTGATGGAAAGGGTTCGAGAGATTTGCTGTTATGAGCTGTTGAACTTCATATGGAGGTGAGTATAGCTGATATTATATATATATATATATATATATTTCTTTAAACCATAAAGCTTCTTCCTGCACAACCATTTGCTTCAGTGATGGCAACTGCATATGATGACACTGCAGTGATGTGATGTCAGGTTGTTTTGGTTACAGTACAGTAGAGATTGACATTCTACCAGGGTGTTCCCCAGTCTTATGTTATAGGCTGGCTGCAATAGGCTCACCATACTGGATAAGTGATTGGAAGGTGGATGAAGTCACATGGTAGTTCAAACATCATCATAACTTGGATGTGTCTCAATCCCCATGTAGATATGTGAGAAGCGAAACAAGACATTTAAAACAAGGACAAAAACCAGACGGATGGAGTAACAGACACCAGTTCTGGACATTCAATACCTGCATAGCTTTCAAGTGAGGCTCTTGGAAAAATGGAAAATCTTGTATTTGTATTATGAATAAGCCCAACACTTCTAACATTAACTTCCTATTCCAGGAAGTTAGTAGAAACAATGGCAAGGGGAAGAGCCGATTCTCCTGTCCAGGCCATCACACTCTTGGGAGACATGCAGACGATGGCCCTAGAGCTGCTTCTGGAAGAACCCCTGCACTTAGCACAGGTCTGGCTGCTTTTCTGGATGCCCCCATGGACATAGGACAAGTGTAGCCATTGTTTTAGGCAGGATGGGGAATGTAAATTGGGATGAGAGAGTAGGTACAGAAGTAGAAAGGGGTTTAACAAACCATGGGGAGGCCAAAAATAAAAAAGTTAACAAGAATGGGATATAAGGGGTGCAACCCTGGACAGCAGTGTATGGATGTGTTTCTTGGGGGGGGGGAAGAAAAAAGCAGGCTCCTGATTGGTAGTAATGCATTAAATGCAGTGCTTGTCACCTGATATCTCCCTGGTCCAGGGTGTCCACACCCCCCTGTCAAACATCAAAGCATCAGTGGGCTTGTTTTTTTTTTCAACTGTGCTTAGAGACCATGTCTGTTATTCTTAACGTGTCCTTCCAGACCTCCTTCAAGATGTATTTCAAAGGGCGAGATATTAGCATGGAGGATGTGATGTGGAAGGTCAGGCCACACTTTGAAAATCTTCCATTAAAGGGGAAGGAGGCACACAAGGTAAGAGACGCAAGGTAGAACAAAAAACCCAGCAGATGTGTATTATTCCCATTTATGGGCATTTGTCATCAGCAGCATGAGCTGGGTGCTTTACAGAAATCGATCCTGGAAAGTCCCTTTGAGGTTGCATGCACCCAATGACATCACATCTCATGTTTCCTCTTGCTATAGGAACTTGTAGATATGGCCCATTGGCGCATCTCTTCCCTGTACTTTGATTGCCTGTTGCTTAGCAACCGCAAGGCCCTGAAGAGACAGTGGGATGATATCGGGGCGAGAGTGAGAGCAGATGCAATATGTTTGAGCAGCACTTTCTCACAGCTCTCAAAGATAACTCAGCAGGGCAACGGACAGTGCGATGGACACAAGCTGGACCAGGTGAGGATATTTGAAATATCTTTAACTCCCCTGCCACCTCTGTGACCTCAGGTGTTCTGATTCATGGGGTATGTCTAGCAGAACCCAGAGGAACCCAGTGGGACCCAGAGGAACCAGATGCTGTTGAAGGTGGCTGATGTCCTGCAGCTGACTGATGTGGAAGCCTTGAAAATAACAGACCATGAGAAGCTGAATGAATTGAGGTGTGTGTGGGGAAGTCTGGATGCATGCTGCTCTTTTCTGCCTGTTATTGTAGGTAGTCTTTCTTTTCCATGTGCTTCTGGCCTGCAGTTGGTCTGTACCAACACCTCTGCTGATGTCTACATTCGCCTGCATTGCAGTGCGAAGCAGCTGCGTACCCTGTTGCACTGGAAAGGAGGGCTGTCAAAGCATCAGATAAGACAGGTGATGAAGACCAGCGGAGATGAACACCACGCCCGTGGCTCGTCAGAATCCAGAATTCGATCCAGGCCACTTCGGTTCATCTGCTGCTGCTGAGACAGTTGTCTGTGTCCATCTGTCATCTCAAAGGCAACAAATGAAGGAAAGCACCCTGTGAAAAAAGAGAACCGCTCTCAGAAAGAAGTGTTGGTCAAGAGACTAAATGTTTTGTCATCAACTGTTTATTTGCCCAACAGGAATCCCTGATAATGGTGACTGGTCTGCCGATAATTCTTTTTTATGTGTATTGTGGTAGCAAAAAATACCAAGCACTTTTAATGTAAATATCATCATACGGAGGCTTCGGATTAGTTTGTTTTGATAGAGAGGATGAAACTAGGCACAGGGTCAGTGTTGATACTGTTCTGTCATAAAATACTACCTATCGAGACGTGCTATCGAGCCTTTCTGCACATGTGCAGTTCCACCGTTTTTGGATTAGAGTTAGGTTTTAGGGGTTAGGGTTAAGGTAAGGGTTTTAGGGGTTTTGGGGGGTTAGGGTTAGGGTAAGAGTTAGGGTTAGGGTTAGGGCTATCGATTAGCACTACGGTAGCATTTTTCGACAAGGCAGCATATATCGACAGAACAGATACACACATTAATAATTTCCAGACTTCATACATTTTTGTTTTTGCATATTTCAGGTCCAAATATAACAATATTTCCTTGACGTAGTGATATTTTATTGGAACCGGTTACAGTCGTATCCACGGTTTCAAACGTATCGCAAGAATTGCAGGATAGCACATTTACGTTAATTTCTTTTTAGCGGACGTTTAAGTCTTGGCAAATGCAGGAAAAACTGGTCATGGTCAATTTTTTTATATGCACGTGAAATTGCATAATGAATGCGATCAACAAAATATTTTTGGGTTCCACTAAGTTCTGCTTTAAATAATGACATAAAAATATGCTATATGATAGCAAACGTTACAGACAACCTATATATATGACTGTAAAAGGATTATCAAAGAGTTAACTGATGTCATGGAAAACTGTAAGCTATTTCACTAGATGCAGTGCGGTATTTCTCCACCAGGGGGAAATAAAGGATAGAAGGCTGTAGTTTTAATGCTGTAGTTAGTCTGGAGGTACTGTACTGGTCATAAGTGTGTAAGTTGATGTCTTTGTTATTGAGTATGATTTGTTTTGATAGCCTGGAGAATATAAGTTTTGTCTGTTATGCACTGAAAAACTTGTGTGCTTTTCAAATTTCATTTATGTGTACATATAAAACCCTATTATTCAAATCACGGTCCTTGAGGTCCAAGCACTACTGATTGTCCAGGCTTCCTTTACCTGTGAGCCAGGTGTGAAGCCTCTGAGCAATCAGAATCAGTAATTATTAAACTAACTACCTGGGAGAACTGAAAACAAGGCCTGGATTTGGATTCGAGGTCCAGATTTGAAGAACCTTGATATAAAGTATAATCTATTAATTTAAAACTGCTAAGCTGAAAAGAATAGAAAATGTATATGCATATGTAATAATTACATGATATGTTTAAGGCAGCACAGTAGCAGAGGAGGTGAGGGGGGGGGGTCAGATGCTCAGATGTTCCCTGCTTTGCACCCATCGCTTCCAGGATGGGCTCCACACCGCTGTGACCCTGCATTGGACAAGCGGATATGGGAGATGAATTAATCTTTCTGAATTGTAACAATTAAAAATATATTTTTTCCATAACAAACAAAAATCTATTTCCCTTTCTGGACCATCGCTTCCTTGTGTGAACTCCTAGTCTGGAGAGGAAGAAGAGATTCTCAGATAAACTCCTTCCTGTGATTGTAGAAAAGGCTGATTCACACGTTCTGCCCAAGGGAATTTTAGGAGCAAAAGCCGTAGGTAATAATTGTTTAGTTTGACACTTTTACTGGCTGTTAGCTGTGTTTTCCTTGGAGACCAGCCCACTCTATATGCCAGGAAGCTATTGTGATATTACTGTTCCAGTATCAATTATTTCTATTATTTTAACTAAACAGTAAATTAAACAGGAAATCCCGAAAACTCTTGCTCATATTAGTACTGACATGGGTTGCCAGGCATTTCCAGATACAGGCGTAATGTCCGAACCCCTCGCCATGGCGCCTTCTAGTTGCTGAGAATTTGAGGTTATAGGTCTCTGGCTTGTGAGTCTCCAGTATTTTAAAATCAATGAACCTCCTCTGGGACAGAGCTCTCCTGTCTATAAAGCTTCGGCCTTTAGGTTGTGTTTCAGGCACAGCTGGTAGATTTCAGCGACATCTGCTCTCTCGTTTTTCCAGTTGCTTTTATGCCAAACCCATTTTTGCACGAAGAAGACGCATCTTTAGGCCTCTCCAGTTCCTCTGGTTCGTTCTAGAATAATCTATCATGTCAACCGGGCTTATAATCTTTGCTGCCCACCCCCACTTTTAATTTGGCTGCCAAATTAAAGGATGCACCCACTCCCTACCTGTTAATTGTCACTGCAGCATTAAGGTACGCTGCCAGGTTGGCTCTCGGGTACCTGGCAACTGTGTTGCCCCTGGCAACTGATCAGACATCTTCCTGAGCAGATGCACACAGACAGATCAAGTATTTAATAGCAAAAAAATCATTCTGTTGTCCTGAGATTGCAGTAAAACCCTGATCCAGTAAAAATATGTATGAGTGGGTAAAAACTGCATTTAGCTTAGGTATGGGGCAGGTGACTTGGTCAGTCTTGGAATTAAAATGCAGTTTATACACACTCATTGGGATTGGGGATGAGTAGGTATGGTAAACCAGGGCCATCACATGACTCCTGTGAGGGACAGATGGTGAACCCCCCCCCCCCACACACACACACACAATGATCTTCACAAAGAATGTGTCACTGTGCCATGAGCCGTTGCATTGTGTAAATAGGCATCGCAAGGCCTGAAACCAAAGGGGTACTAAGTCTTTCAAGTGCTGCTGTCCTGACATTAACACAGTTTTTCAGTACTTCGTGGAGAGCAAGAAGAAAAAGGAAAGCAGCATCACAAATACACCTTTTTATTGAAGCATTACAATACAAACATTCAGTTAAAAAAGTGAAAAAAAGAATAAAGCTTATAAACATAAGTACTATACAAAAGACACCAACGTATTATTTACATCTGAAGACTGAAGAATTCTTTGCCATTATGTGGGATGTTTGGTTAGCACTGTTGAGTAATATGTCAACAAATTTATGGAACAGAAATTCTCACAACACCCTGTGTTTACATTAGAGGTTACCTAGTGATGATGACAATACATCAAGAACTGAAAAAGCTTGGCTTTTTACATTTATATACTCTGTTACACTTCGTTCCACAAAAAGCTATGAAATGTGTAACATAACGAATCACAGATCCAACTTACAATACAGCAATGAGACACTTTACATTTACTGATCACCTGACAAGTGAAATATCTGAAGGTTAAATCAAGGCCAAGCGTTGCCGCTTTACTGCCACCATGGAGAAGAAAGGCCGGCAATTTCCACTGGGGATACACTGCATCGTTTCCTTCACACTCTGCTTGATCTTGGAGATGTCTTCACTGGAGAGGTTGTGTTTAAGGTTCAGCAGAGCTCCGATGTGGCGTGAACTGTGAGGGAGGTGGGGTTGGTTAGGGAGAGGGCATGTTCTGTGTAACTACATCATCGATAGTCATGAGTAAACGTGATGTGGTGGTCATGGCCACGGTAGTTCTCTGAGCACCCTAAAGGTGGCGCTGTGTCAGTTTATTTTTTTTTGAGTGGGAACTAAAGACAGTTCAGAGGTGGAAATTTCAGGTCCAGGAAGTGCAAATTCAGACCAAGATTTTGTTCCAACCAACCAGTCAAGTACTGTGTGACAGAATCTTTATACTCAACTGGTTGGTTGGAACAATGTCTTGGTCTGGATTTGTACTTTCCAGACTTGAAATTTCCACCTCTGGATTAGTTAGCTATTCTGTGAGCCTGGATTAGTATGCTGCTTCCAGAACTGATGCACATTTTATAGTCCTGTAGCACAGCAACTGAGTGAAGAGACTCCTCTTCGTGGATATGGTTATAGTGTCATACTTGTTTAGCTGATCTTGGTACTATGTTGCAGTGGGTGGGGTGGGGGGGGGGTTAGTCTCACCTGAGGTCAGGGTAGTCCCGGGCTAAGATGGCCACCTCCAGCTGGATAAAAGGTGGGTCCTGTGTCCGGAGCACATCAGCAATTTTCGGAAGGAGGTTTTGCAGCCAGTCCTCCCTTGAGCCCTGCGTTTAAGAACGAGGGATTACAAATTTGCCCATGAAAGTTCCGTCCAGGTGAAGTAAAAATCTATTTAATGAAAAGTTCCTCCCCATCACATGCATGTTACTCACTGCCAAAGCCCCCATGAGAGATGTAAGCGTGACACACTCTTACCGCCTCAGTGAAGAGCTCCGTCAGCCTGCTGCTGTCCATACACACCAGGTTCGCTGCCGTCTCCTGCTGAACCCTGTCTGATAGTTTCACCTTCCTCTTGAACAACCTCCTCACGTACTCTACCAGCACCTCCCTGTGCATTCGGCCCAACAGCACCTGTACACACATACAGAAACCCATATAAAATCAGCCACATTACAGAACTACAGATGTAAGTATTACAACTTAAAGAAGCATTTTTATTAAATTTAATAAGAAAAAAAAACCCATGAATTGGAGCCCTTGTGCTGTCATGCTTTACAGCTATTTGTAGGAGTTGGTGACTATTACAAATACCCCAGATCTGTCCCATCTGCAGGAAAAACACATTCCTGTACCTCGTGGCATTTCATATGCAGGTTGTTCTTTAAGTTTTTAATTTGCTTCTCAATCTCGTCCAGCACTTCTATGTAATTCCCAGAAAACCAGTCTTCAGTCCCCAGTTTGCTGTACTTCAGCTGAGGAGAGTGAAAAGAGCAATGATCACCTTGGCCTAAATGTGAACTTTGATCACGCATCACAGAAGCGGAACTGACATTTACAAACTTTAAATTAGTCATGGCTCTGAGTTTCTAAACTAAGTGCACTATACTTATTATGTGTCTGGTAAAGGAATTAATGCGTTAACACATTTGCTAGGTATTTTGGTGGTAAATTGCCCAGCTAATAAGCACTAAAGCAAAGGTACCTTGAGAGCTTTGTGTGCAATGCTAGTGAGGTAAGTGTTGCTAGCGTCAATTAGCTCTGCCACTATGGACAGGGGGCTGTCTCTCGTGTCCATCGTGAAAAGGCTGCCGTTGTTCTCGATGTACCGCCTGTGGAAAGACAGACACCAGAGGGGCTCAAAATAATTCAACATAAACACTCAGGTTATTTATTTAAAAAGTTTCAGAATTGAGCAGATTTCCCGTTCTGCTCTGAGGTATTTGTTCAGCGACCGTGAACTTACTTGAATTCGATCAGACTGGCTAAGTGTGCCTTCACTGTAGGAGCAGCCTGCCCGTGTCTCTCTTTTAACACCTCTTGCAGAAACTTCTTGTAGCTGAAAATAAGACAGGAATCATAAGGCTTCCATCCCTGTCGTGGATGTAGAATGAAGCTGAGAGCTTTTCTCTCTGAAACGCATGATAAATCTAACGCTGTACCTGGTCAGAAAGACCCTCAGCTGACCCGCGATCCTCTTGACTTTCTCTGGGTCTTCCAGCATAGTTGCCGCCGACTTCACTGCTGAGTCAAAAAGCTGCCATGGTAGGAGAAGACTGTCAGTATGAGAAGGAACTGAGCTGAATGGGAATTCAACCAGGCTGTAATGTCAGGAACTGCATCAGCCGTATCTATGATGCACTGTACCACTGGAATGAGGTCACTGCAATCTAACAGCTTTGATACCTGTAAGTAATCGATGGCCATGTCTGTGGAGTAGCAGCCGTCGATTTCACTGGGATGGTTTGTCATCTCTTTCTGTTTCTCGAGAACGTTACGGCCCCAGGACTCCATCTTACTCTGAAACAAAACCGCACCACAATGACCCCCGGTGGTCTTGCCAAAGCCACACTTGATAAAGATCATAATTATGAATCACAGACGCAGCACGCTATAAGCAAAAGAGTATCATTGAAGACAGATGGATGGAAAAAAATGGATCCTGAGGCAGTGACCATATTCCCTAATTAGGAAATGCTTTAAATTCTTGAGCATGTGTTACAGACACATGTGCTTAACAGACCCAGGATTCCTCACCTCTTTGTATGTGAGATACAGGTCTTTCAGGGGGCTGATCATCTCTTCAGGCAGCAGAGGTCCAAGTGCTTCAGTGTTAATGTCCAAAGTCAGCTTATTGCATTTCAACACATCCCTGAAATAAAAGAGCAAAATTAGTTAAAGGTAGTTCAGTTAGGACTGGGTATGTTTAATGTTCACTGGAAATGTGCATGGTAGTTAGTATTAGTCTGTGTATCAATATATATCAACCAAAAGGCTCCTAAGCAGGTTAAGCCCTTGCAAACCGGTTGTCATACAGGAGGGTATTTCCTACGGAGGACCAGGAGTACATTTCACTTACTCAGGATAGCAATCATTCACCCAGAACAGGAGATAAACTGAGTCTTCTGCATCCAGCCCGAACTCAGCGATGGACTTCAGTTGTTCTGCGAACGCCTCATGGTACAGCCTGGCGTACAGGTTGCATATGTCGAATTCCTCTGGGTAGCACAGCTTCACGTTCTGCACGACCGTGAGGAGATCGTTCTTCAGGCGCTTGCCCTTCCTGCAGATTTCCTTTTTCAGGGACGAGGAGAGGTTGTCAGCCCCGCTCACATCCTCGACGTCTTCCAGTCGCGTCCTGACCAGCTCCCGGAGCTGGCTGTCGTGCTTGGTCCTGCAATCCAGGGGTCTCCAGCCAGGAACGTCCCTTTCCTCTGGCAGCCCTGCATCCTTCCATTTCCGGTCCTGTTCCTCCTCCAGCTGGATGGCTCTCACTGCCTCCTTCAGAATCTCTGTTTCCCGTGTACCTGCCTCGAATGTTCCCTTCATCGCCAGCCATATTTGGTTGAGAAGCTTATTATAATCGCTCTCCAGCTTGTTCCTGTCTTCTGGCGTGGAGTTTGCACCTTGTGCAAACAGACTATCTTCTTGAGTAATCAGCTTTTGGGCAGCTTTGGAGAAATACCTCTGATTCAGACACTCCTGGAAATTCAAGACAACTGTGGGGAGAGACATATTACAAAGTTTATTTTAGTTATTAATCGTTAATACACAAATTTAGGTTACACCTGAATACGACCATTAACAGGATGCATTCAACGGCTCCTTAAATTAATTAATTCAATAAACAGATAATGTACATCTTTGGGTACACGGTGGGGTACCTGGTTCTTCCAGTGTGATAGAAGGATCAGTGATGACTGGAGTTTCCGAAGATGTAGCAGACCTTCTGTGCTTTTTTAAGAACCTTGGCATCTTAATTCTAAATGTCCCACGAGTTAGCACTGGTGTACCAGGGTGAGATCCGGTTGTAACAGTCATATTGTCTGAAGGATGATAAATGCTGGAGTCAGTCAGCGAAACGACAGCTTGGTTGCCGAGACATCGCTATAGTCTACGAAGTGCAAACTGCCACGACGTACTTACACTTATAATAAAAAGGCACGCTTGCTTCACATTTCAAAACATCTGCAAATGTCAAACATTAAAAACTGCACTAACAACGAAAAAGCTTGACGTGACACACGCCCAGATATTAAACGTTAGCTGAAAAATGTAATAAACGCCAAGGATTACAACAATTGTTTAAAATGAAGTTGTTGGAACAAAACAGTGAACTGAATCACAGTCACAATACATAGGATAATTATCAGTATAACTGAGATGGCAATGGCTACCAACTTACCGAAAGGTAAATATCACCCGGTGATATTACAGTTACAGTAGCAAGAGCTTGTGTTATAGTTAATTTCGCTCGATTCTGCGTTTAAATAAGCGACTGCATGGAGATGATGTCGCAGGGAGGCGTGGAGATGTGGAAACAGGGGAATTTTCCTGGCACTGAGGCGTTTCTGATCCTTCCTGCTGCCTTACCCGACCGGAATTGTTTTTCATTTTACATGATGAACGACTTTCTATCTATCTATCTAATTTTATTATTAATAATTTAAAAGCTGGAAAATAAGTAATTGAATACGTGTATACAGTAATATATTATTGGCCGGTTTATGAAATAGCGCGCGTTGCGTTTTCAGTTATTTAAAGGTATTTTTTAAAATGTTTGAGACTAATGGCGGCAGAATTACATCATATTGTTGATGTTATAATGTTATGGAGTTTCCACAGTGGAGGCAGCAACTGACAAAATATGCGAAGTATTGCATTTTAATATAAATAACGGTCTTTTTCTCTGCTCTAGGGAAATCACAGTTTTAGTCAGTAGTAAAAATCCCTGTAGCCCTACTCTTCCTCTGTCTGTTTTTGTGTGGGAGCCTGAACTGCATGCCATTGCATGGTATGCATACACACACACACGCACACACACACACACACACACACACAGATAGAGTGAGAGAGAGACCTGCAGTACATGTATTCATCTTTTGTTTCTATGGGAAAAATCGGTAAAACTCTAAACCCATCAATGACAACCTTAACCTCAACCCAGTCCTAACCTTAAGCATAAGTAACCAAACAATTTTTAGTTTGTTGATTGCAGTCACAGACTTTATAAAATTGAATTTTCCTTTGCGGGGACCAAAAAAATGGTCCCCACAATGTCAAAATAACAGGTTTGTATCTCATTCTGGGGACATTTAGTTCCCACAATGTAATGTTGAACACTTTAGAACCACAGGAATCATTTTGTCCTTAATAAGATCATTTCCATTTCCCATATTGATTAAGAACTTCCACTTTCATACATTCCAGTAATAGAGCTCCAGAGTTTGAGATTCTACTAGAAAGCTGAGTGATGTGAGTACACTGTGCACCGCTGTTCTTAATCCCCTCTGTCTGATTGACGCACAAGCACCAATTAAACATTTGACTTCTATATCCAAAACTAGCACCTTTGGTACTATAGACTCATCCAGTTATTAGTATGTCACTCCTACACCAATGTATCTGTCATGAAAACTTAGACCTACCTTGACCCGTCCTCTGCCTGGAGAACAGACGAAAACATTTAAAGAACCTCATGACTGATAGACAGACAGTGAACTGACAGCTGACCTGAAAAGATCCTGTTTATGTAAGTGATGGTTTCCATTTCAGTCTGGTCATGTGACCATTTAAGGGCCCGCTAGCTTCCGCAAAGGAGAGTGTGCTTTCCGGCTACCGGGACCTTTTATACCCTGTTGTGCAATATATTTGAACTGCTGTCCTCTGCCTTATCCCATTAATACACTTTGGACTCCATTGCATCATGGTCACACAGAATGAAAGTTTCCTCCTTGTTGATCTCTCAGAGTAGTACGAGTACAGCGAAGCAGTTATTTTTAACCGCATTCAAATGTTATAGTTTTCTTCACGAACATCTGAGCATTTCTAGATTGCAGATGTTAATAGTTTGTTTAGAACAAATTGTGTTTGTTTAAAAAGGGCAGGGACCGGTCCGCCAGTAGCGGCCACGGACACTGTCTCCTTGAGATGATAACCCAAAAAGGATTTGATGGATCTTTTTCAAACTTTGCAGACACATTGTATTGATGAAGAACAGGAACTGATGAAGTTTTGAATCAGTTTGACGCTTGGTCTTGTGAACACAGTAACTATAAAAGTAGTTTATGGATCTCATTCAGACTTTTCAGACACATTAAAAAACTGGACATGATCAAATTTTAAGCCAGATTACCCCACAACTGATGGCAAAAAAAAGTTTCAGACACTTGATCCTGTGATTATGTGCCTGTTCCAGGACATTATTACATTACATTATTGTTACATTATGTTACATATATTTTTTTATTCTATGCAACATGAAAGATTAATCATCCATTTAATAATGATTTACATAGATGTTGTGGACTGGTACTTTGAGACCTCTTGTAAGTGTTGAACTAGCCAACGAAATCCCTCATCCCCCACTACAGATAATGCCTGACCATCCAGTGCAATCACAAGATAAGAGATACTGTCATTATATTCCAGCACAATGAAATTGTGTTGAGATCTCTGCATGTGCAGTTAACAAATGACGATAGAAATGGAAAACAGAAAAAAAAAAAAATTTTAAGAAACACAGGTAGCTCCACATAAAGTGTATAGTGTGGGAAGTGCGGTAGTTACTATGTACAAAGTGGCACAATACAAAAAATAAAGTAATTAAATATAAATTATAAATATACAGTCTTTAAGGTGGTACTGGGTGTGTATAAAATACCTGCATGTATACAGAGATGATGAGGTAGTGTGTGGGGAAATAAAACATTAGGCGAATAGTGTTAGGGATGAATGTGAGGTCCTTTTATACACACTCCTGGGGAAAAGCAATGGGCCAGAAGCCCAAAATTGCAAAATATTAAGCTTTTATTCATCTTAACGACAAATAGTTAGTCAGATAGTTAGCAATAACTAAAAAATGCACTCCCGAGATCTGTACCATCATTTGCTCGTCACTGCAGTGAACTGTTGGGGGGAGAAAGCTAAAAATATGGAAATTCACTTACATAGCCTTCTTGTACGCAAAGATAAATTCATGAAAATATTTAAATGTTAAATGTTTAAATCTTCTGGCTATTTGCTGTTGAGAATATTAAATGCTCATTATTTTGTTGATTTTGGGTTTGGCCTATTTTAATTATTATTATTTTTTTTTGCTCAGGAGTGTAGACTCTCAGAAACTTAATGCTCTTCACACGTTCCACTTTATCTCCATGACTGTGGAGGAGGAGGTGATCGTTCTTCTTTGTTCTTCTGAATTGTGCTGTGATTCCTTTGTCTTGCTGGTGTTTAGAAGAAGGTTGTTATCACTGAACCAATCAGCCAAGTGAGCCACCTCTGTCCTGCAGGCTGCCTCATCATCATCTAAGATTAATCCAGCTACCACTGTGTCATCAGCAAATTTCACAGTAATATTTGATGGGTGCATGCCGGTGCAGTCATGGGTGAGAAAAGTGTACAGCACTGACTTATTTTGTTCTGGAATAGAATGATTGAGCTATGCATTCCAATCCAGACACCCTGTCATCTATTTTTGAGAAAATTCAACACCCAGGATGAGAGAAAAGTGTCCAGGCCTAAGTTGTTCTGTTTGTTGACTAGTTTGTGAGATATGACTTGGACTTAAATTCGACTTGAATTGAACTTTAACTCAGAGACTTCAGATTTGACTTAGACTCGCATTTTGTGACTGGTGAGCATCTCTGATAAATGCCATTAAATACATTAACTGAAATCTACGAATAACATCCTCAAGTGTGTATTCGGTTGTTCCAAGTGGGACAAAGCTGTATGAAGTGCAATTGAGACAGCGCCATTTGTGGGTCAGTTTGCTCAGAAGGTGAACTGGCGTTTGTTCAGATCTGAGACTGATGTGTGAGAGCACCAGCCTCTCGAACCACTTTATGATGTTGGAGCGACTGGGCGGTGGCGTCATTCAGGCAGTGATGTAGCCATACATGGTGCGTATGGTGCATACACAACCCCTATCACGAAAATGTACTTTTTTATTATACGTGAAATAAACAAAAATGTAATTACAGTAATTAGCTAAAATGTTCTTAGTTATGCACAGTCTTTTAAAATATATACAGTTTATTGTTAAAAACCTGTTCTTCAGAAACGCGAAAATAGGTTGGGCCATGTCGCCGTCAGGTTTGCCGGGAACTAGGAGGCCAAAGGCTGGATAGGCACGGTACGCACTCCCTGTCGGAAATTCCAGGCTACACCACTGCATTCAAGCACTTCTTGGGCACCGGGATAATGATGGAGGGTATGAGGCATGTCAGAGCAGCTGCTTCTCGCAGTGAGAGGATAAATATGTTGCTGAGGACACCTGGAGTCTGAGGAGAGCATGTCTTCAATGTCTGTCTGGGGGCTCCGTCCGCGCCGGCAGCTTTGATTGGTATCAGCTTCCAGAGAGGTGGATCTCACCAAAGGGCGTTGGACTGCGGATAAGGGTGGACCTGAATCATCAGGGCCCTGCCTTGGAAATCGTTTGACTTAAAAAAATAAATAGCAAGCATATTATTTTCAGACCAGGCAAACACAGTTGGAGGGGGCGATCCGGAGGCGTAAACGGGGCATGAAGCAAGTCAAGCCGAGGGGGGGTCACAAGACGTGGGACAGGCAGACACAGGCGGGAGTCGGGGAAGCGGGGAGGAGCGGGACAAACACGGGAGGACTGGGCTAGGGCTGCAAAGGAGACAAAGAGATAAACGCTCAGTATGTCGCATAGAGATCAACAGTACCTCGCGCCGAGGAGTGCGAGGTGAAGCCGCTGGCAGAGGTGGACGTGGTTCCGCAGATTAGGAATTGCGCTCCCTCCGTCGGGGACGTGGTTGGGATGTGACACCATGGATGACTGTACGTCACTCTTGTCTATTATTGCCCAAGCGCATTGCATCATGGCTGCTAACCCGAAGAGAGGACTTCTTCTGCCTGTTTTGGTTCTGCTATCAGGACTCGATTTTCCCAGCTGACCACCAGTGTCCCTGCCAACAGCAGTCCCCAAAAATCCCCGAGACCAACCTACACCAGGCCTCCGAGGTTGGGCAATCATATACTCTATTCTCTAATTTTTCAGCTTCCAAGGGGCTCCTCGCACGTTACAGAATGCTGTAGGTGCAAAGCTTATTGCAGGCGACTTCTATGCAAACAAGGAAACAATTCACACTTGAATTTTGTCAAGTGGAATTTTGCTATTTTTTTGCCATTGATTAATCAGTTATAGGGATCCGCATCCATATAATCATTTATTATTATTATTATTATTATTATTATTAATAATAATTTATAATAATCAAAAAAACAACTGGCATCCACTGAGTACAAAGAATAAATCCTTCACAGTGTTCTTAAATAATCCTTATCCTTATGATTGTGTTTGGGCTTCAGCTGTGCCAATAAGGGCACAGGGGAAACTTGATTGTTTAATGCATACAGTATATGAGACTGAACAGTCAGTGAGCATTGAGGAGCTATAGCCTGTGCTGGTTTGCCATGTGGGTGTGGAATATAATGGATTATCAAACAGTCTCTATGGAAGGACATCACAGACAACATCTGAACATTTGAGGTCTTATAGTCTAGTACTGTGATATGGAGCAGCGGTCTTTCCTCTTAGATATGTGGAAAAGTGGGTTGGATGGTTTTTGTCACAAAGGAAAAGGGTAATAAAGAGAAAAGTAATCAAGCTGGACAGATATTTTGACTAAATATAACCAAGGCCCTCAAGTTTCCCCAAAAGCTTGGAGTGAGATTCCATTAGGAGCAAAACGTGTGTCTCATGGTTAATGCGAGAGTCTAGAGAGAACAATCTGCTGCATTCATCCGATCCTGCTCTGCCGTTCCCATCTCACCTTCACTCCATCTGTGCGTGTATACATGTTATAACATGCTTGCTAATGACTTGCAGTTCATGAATGAAACGTTCTTTTGAACTGGTTCTTTTCAGTGAATTGGTCAAACTGGTTTACAGATCTAAAAGAACCGGTTAGTAAGTGCGGATGCCAATAGCCTTTGCGAACAGCGTTTGTTGTATTCTGTGTGTTGTGGCTTTGGTGTCGGTCTTTATCCTTTAAAGCATTTTAGACTGCATGTTTGCACATTTCTTAAGGCTCTCAATAGAGATGCGCGGATGGCGGTTATATCCACAGGCGCTGCGGATAATCCGCGGGTTGGGTGAGTCGGGTAATAAAAAAATACATTTTAATTAATTGTGGGTGGGTCGCGGGTGGATGAGATCAATCATTAATGATGCAAATATCAACTACATTCTCTAAAATACGAACATATTTTAAATGCATTTTTCATCAGGCAGACAGTCGCTAATTTGCGCTCTCGTTTTAAAAAAATACGTGCATGGCGGGAGGAGGGGGGTCCATTTCTTAAAGCAGAAATGGAGGCGAAACAGATCCGAGAGAGACTAAAAAAGGGAGAATTAAAAACAAAACAAAAGGAAGGAAAGAAAAGTGCTGTGTGGGAGCGGTTTAGCGAAGTGCCTATCTCCTGTTACTGTACCTATCGTCTGTATAAGTGCCTACGAGTTTTTTTTGGGAAAAAAAGTTCTTAATTGTTCTCTCTCTCTTTTTTTAAATGTATTTGGAAAGCATAATATTCTGTATTATTTGAATAGATAGGGCTAATAAATTTGCCGTTATCCAGTCATTGTGTGTTTATGTGTTGCAGCGACAGAAACGGTGATATTCCCATTATGAATGGAGTAGGCCTTGTTTATTTTATTGAGAAAATGTTGGTTAATCTGGCTAAAGACAAAATTTGTTTTATGAATAAAT